GAATTAAAATTAACATGACCTAGTCTACCATGCCATAAATTGGAAGACTCAAGCAAGTAAACAGAATTAACTTTGCTTTTATTGATAACAGGAATTACACTAAGCTTAAAAAGCCCATCAGTTACATATCCTTTACCAACAAACATCCCTAACTTGGATAAAACTACTTTGTCTGACTCGAACACCATGCGAAAGCCATGCTTGTTCAACAGAGAGCCAGACACCAGATTCTTCCTCAGCTCAGGAACATACAGCACGTTGTTCAATGTCAGTTCCTTCCCAGAAGTCATCTTTAGAATGTGACACCCCAAAAATCCACATTCAATCCATGGATTAATTGAGTAATTAATCCTATTTTATTTGAGGAACTAATTCCTAAAATCCTTATTTTTAATACTCAAGGACTAATATTTAACTAGTCAACCTTTAAGTTGTGTTGTACCTTGTGCTTTGAGGGGAGTTCCCTTGTTCCTTACACTTTCTAAAGGTTAGTAAGGGTATTCTTGTCCTTTCACCAAGAGTTAGTATTGTAACCTAACCTAGAAGACTTCTTCATTTCATTCCTTACAATTCTTAGAAATTAGCTCTACCTTCTCTCTAGAAAAGATGTATAGCTTATTCTCCAAGCCAAGTTGAGACCCTTGTCAAGATTTCAAGTTTTGCTTCCAAGATTCAACCTTTCACCTATTTGGGCATCTAGGAGGGTAAGATCTAAGTTTATCTTGTCTTTTTGGTTCCATCTTAGTTGTCTTTTTCTTAAAGGTAGGATCTTTATGATCTTTTGGTTTGATCTTGAAGTGGGCTTGGAAAGTAAGCCTTGTGGGGAGCTTGTTGTGGTGTAAAGTGAAGTCTTTTGGTCTACAAGAGGTAATCCATGCTCTACAAAACCTATTTTTCTTACCTATATGTGATTTCTTGGATTCTACTTGTGTTCTGCTATGAAATGTGAGGGTTTATGTATTTGTCTTGTGATATTGCATATCTAGAGCTTGTGTTTAGGGTTCCTTTGTGCCATTGCTTGGCATTTTCCATGGTTCAAGTCATTTTGTTGTATTGGGTGAGATTTGGCATATTTTGGACTTGAATTTGTGTTTGGAGAAGAAAATCCCCGAAGGGATTTGTTGTGGAACAGGAATGTTCCCGCGGGCGGAACGACGGGCGGGGCACCACTTGCCGGCCTACCCGCGGGTACACAGCCCTGTGGGAATACGTTCCCGCGGGCGGAACCACGGGTGGGGCGCTACCCGTGGGTCCACCCGCGGGTACATGGTGGTTTTTGTTCGGGATTTGTTCCCCGTGATCCGTTTGACTCGGTATTCGTTCTTTTGACTTCCCGTTGTTCTTTTGTGGAACTATTTGAACGTCTTCTTAATTTTTCGTATGTCTAGAACTATATGGTAGGTATCCATGTAGGACTTTGGTGTCTTGAGTCGTGCTAAGTGTTCAACATTGTGTTTCGTTGGACCAAGAGGTGTCTTGTGTGTTCCTCGGAACTATCTTGAGTTTCTCCGTTGTTAAGCATGCTAGTTTATTGTCTTAATGCTAGCGGGTGTGTTGTTTGTACCTTCCGTTTGGTTGATGATAACTTGTGTTATTCATCGTTGTTGTTGTTGGGTTGTGACCCGTTCCTTGATTGAGTATGTTTCATACCTTCGTTGTAATCCGTTGATTGACTCGTGTGAGTGGTTGTGCGTGTGTGGCTTTACCTGGATTGCACGATTAGTGGTATGAGACACTAGTCACCAAGGTATTGCAGTGGTCCTCGTGTTGGCCGTGACGTGATTATGGAGATGTGGCCTTCGAGTAAGGTTCACGTGATTAGGGGATAACATGTGTTATCCGGGTATGTGTTGCCGTGTACGGTACCTTGTGTACTATGAATTGGTGGTCTTGTTGGTGGTTTGTTGGTGGGGGACGACGGTCCCAGGAGGGAAAAGGTTAGACTAAGAAGTACAGGGGTTCTGGAGGTAATGGTTGGCATGAAGGTACAAGGTCGGGGGCAGCCATAAGGTTGGAACAGGGCTAAAGGAAGGCATATCAACTCGTGATGGGTGATGTCACGAGGGCTCGTGTAGCCGTTGTTGTGAATTCTCTTTCTTGTGACGTGTGTTGTCACAAGGGCATGTGTTGCCATGGGTGAGTCTTATTCCTTTGTGTTGTGGTTAACCTTTGTGGTTTGGGATGTGTTCCTGTGTTATCTTTGAGAGTGATGAGTCTTGTGTTGACTGTTGATCTTGGCTTTTGACTTATATACTTATGTATTCCGTTTCGAAAATAGTTTTACAGCTTATATCTATCTATGTATGATACTTAGCGGTATTGGTGGGTTACCAGCATTATTGCTGACCTGGCGTCGTCCCAATGTTTATCTTTGTATCTTTCAGGTGATGTTTAGACGAGCGTGATGTCTAGTGCCTGGTAGCTTAGCACCTTTATCCTTGTTTTTGTGGCCTATGCGCCAATGTAGTTAGACTGATGTTTTGGGATAGATATATACACTTGCAGATTGTTTGCCGTAGCGTTTACCGTGTTTGGTAGACGTGGCGTGACACCCCATTGGATTTCTTTTATCCAGTTCTCGTTTTATCTTCCGCTGTGCTAGTTTTGTTGTCTAATCTGCATGTGTTAAGGCTATTTTATCTAGCTTGTTTGGGGGGTGTTACATAGAACCACCTTGCCCATGCCTTCCACAGCAGACTGAGCAGAGTTTCCCATCCACACCTTTTCACCCTCAACGGTCTCAAAGGTGTTGAACATCTCTCGGTTGCAACACAAGTGCCTGGTTGCACCGGTATCGATGAACCACTCACGAGGGTTTGAGCCCACGAGGTTCACCTCGGTCGCCATAGCCGAAAGGCTAAACTCGACCTCCTTCTGACCGCTATCTCCAACAACATTGGCTTCAGAATTCTTGTTCTTCTTCCTTGGAGCCTTGCATTCAGATGCTCTATGGCCATGCTAGCCACAATTGTAGCATTCACCAGGAAACTTGTTCTCGGTAACGCCACCTTTCGGACATAGCTTTCGCTTGTCCTTCTTGTTCCTCTTGGAGCTCTTACCGTGCTCCACAACGTTGGCCTTAGCGCCAACAACGATAGGAACTTTCCTATCATTCGTCCTGTTCCCTTCCTCAATCCTGAGTCGCTGGATCAGGTCCTCCAGATTCATTTCCTTTCGCTTATGCTTAAGGTAGTTCTTGAAGTCCTTCCAACCTGGAGGCAACAAATGGATCACAGATCCCACTTGGAAGGCTTCACTTAGCACCATGCCCTCGTCACGGATCTCATCAAAGATTAATTGCAAATCTTCTACCTGACTTAGCACGGTCTTTGAATCAACCATTTTGAAGTCGAGGAATCGGCCAACCACAAATTTCTTTGAGCCGGCATCCTCACTTCGGTATTTATGATCCAAAGCTTCCCAGAATGCTTTTGATGTGCTTATCTTTCGATATACATCGTATAGCGTGTCACACAATCCATTCAGGATGTAGTTTCGGCAAAGGAAGTCCGAATCCTTCCAATAGCCAACTGCCATCACGGATTGTGCATCTTGTTCCTTTAACTCGGGAACACTCTCGGAACCTTGCCAAGCCGAGAGTTGCTAGGTAGAACAACGTTTTCTGTTGCCACCTCTTGAAGTTTGAACCAACACCGGTGAACTTCTCCGGCTTTTCAGCCGAACCACTCGGTACCGAAGGTACCCGAGACATGGGAATATATCCCTCAGTTCTCCCACCATCCTGTGAACCAACGTTCACTGGTGTAGCTTGGGAATTAGCAACATTGTTGCCGTTTCCTCCATTGTTGTTCTCAACAACATTTTCTTCCCCATTGTTAGCGATTAGCAACTCCGGGTTCTCCATTTCTTCAAGGAAACTAGAGAAAACAACCAACGGGAAAACAAGGTGATAAGGTTTTAAACTGTAGGGACCCTTGGTAGAAAAACAAATAATAATCAAAAAATAAGATTATTATTTTCTGGAAAATAGGGAAGGAAAGATGGAGAAATTTGGCTAGTGTTTGGTGTTGGGTTTTTTGCAAGAGTCAAGTGAGCACTCTTTCCTTAAAACCTTATTTGCCACATCCCAAAGATGCTAGGAGCGTTGTGGCCTAGGCTTCCCAGGATAAAACTTGCTAGTGATTTAATGTTTGAGCACTCAAACAAGGAATCCGGCGAGCCAGACACGGTTATGAACACAATAGGCTAAAGAAGGAGTAGAAGCAGAGAGATTTTGAGGCTAAAAATTAAACTTTCGTGTTCTATATTTCTGTGTGTAAATCTCTACTGCCTCTACCCTCTCTTATATAGGGTTGAAGGATTAAATAGCTTTTATTAGGGCACTTTAAAGCTGGCTCTCCAACAGCTGTAACAGCATGCCACTACCTGAGAATTGAATTCAGAATTCAAAATTGGAATTAATAAAAATTAATTCCGTAACAGATGAATTCAATCTCCTCAACAGTCAGAACTTTCGACCGAGGCAAGTGACTATATCGGTTGGAAAATGATACCGAAGTTTGGCATAACTTAGCCCGCAAGGCCAGCCAATTTCTGGACAACATTCGTGCCCCCAGGTGCCAACGCACACGAACTCAGGCTTGAATCAAGCCTTTTTCAATCTCTTCTTCTTGTTGGAATTTGAATTGCACCCCCCTCCCGTGCGAGAGAGCCTCTATGCTATACAATTCTACAAGCTTCAAAAGAGCTCTTGTATATAAAGGGGGAAAGTCTTCATTCCAAACCAATGTGGGACAAAACCTCACTTTTTCCCTTTATTTTTCAACTCAAATGGGTCTACTTTGAGAATCAATATCTCATTCACCCATTATCCGTTTTGAGCGTACAATATATCAATCTCTTCGTCTCACTACGAACAACCCGAATCCACTTTGACCCGACCCAAATCAGAAGTGGACCCCACTGATAATTGTACCACAAAATAGCCACTTAACGTGCCATTTTGTGCCATTTTAAGCTATTTTTTTCCAACAAATGGTTAGGGTACTTCATTATTCTTTGCAATATAAGAATTCTGGCTCTCTGTATATCACTGCTGCAAATATGAGCTTGCACCCCTAAATCATCAACCTCCTTTTTGAAGAAATCTACCTTCCTCCTGATATCTTCAATGCAAATCTTTGCACCATCTTCATTAGTTGTGAAATCTTCCTTGTTCAATAATGATTCTATCTCAATTTCCAACTTGATAATAAGCATGCTTATGGTGCCCAAGTCTTTGATGGCAACAGACATTCTAACTTCAATCGAGTTGATGATTTCGTGCAGTCTTTTGATGGCATCCTCACATTTCCTGAGAGGAGAATCAACCAATTTCCCTATTACGCCAATGGGAATGGCTGTAGCCGCGGCCAGTGCGCCTGCAACAGGCGGTGCAGCGATGGCTGCAGCCATCACTGAGGAGATGAGAACAGCAGCAATTGCAGCGGCAAAGATCATTCGTGAGACCATTCTCCAGGAACGAATGCACTTGAGCTTCTTGTCAAGCTTGCTCATTCTCGACTGCAACTTCTCGAGCATTTGGATTTGATGCACATAGAGAGATTGGAACATCTGGAAAAACTCTTCAGCAGCTTTGTAGCTCTTCAGCTCCTCTAGAGTTCTTGTGTACTTGTTATCCCCTTCAACCCCACACTCCTTGAATCAAGAGCTAGCTGTTGTGTGCTCGCTTTAGGCATTTCTCCAAGGCAGCTGTTGCATCCCTTAACTTGAGACATGGAAAATTTAAGGAAGATATGGGGTTTGAATTAGAAGGGGAAGAGCTGAGATCAGAAGCAAGGAAAATCAAAAGAGAAGAAGGAAGGATTGGCATAACTTATCCAAACGAGACCGTATGAGCTACCGTTGGGGACTGTTTAAGTAAAGGGTTCGGACGACGTCGTTTCACTCATAGACGTTATAACCGTGGAAGAATGCTTTCATGCGAGGTCGTTTTGACCCCAGGATGCTCCGAACAGACAGCAGATGCCTCAGCGAGAAATGCGGGAGTTAGTCAGATGTTTTTTGGATGTTTCGCAGCTATTTATGCTTTGTTTGTAAGAAGAATGATTATGTTTTTTTTTTTTTTTTTTTTTGGAGACCAAATTTCGGATTCAATAGAATTCCTCAACTTTCCTCTAAACCCTAAATTTCTTCTGTTCCCCTCTACCCCTTTCTACTATTTCATTAGTTCAGAACTTGGAGGTCACGACGTTTGGTATCAGAGCTCACCATGGTCACAGCAGCTTCTTCAGCCATGGAGGAGAGAATGAGTAGACTGGAGACCTTAGTCCTGGAACAAGGGAGTGGCTTAATAGAAACTAAACAAGCAATCGAAGATAACACTCAAGATCTGAAAGCTAATATGCATCGTTTGGAATCCAATATGCAGACTTGGAAGGATGAGATTGTAACACCGCGAAATTTTTCAACTTGCCGGGCGACGTCTGAGTTTGTATTCGATGGAGGTGGTGGGGGTCTGTTGTTGCGAAGAGCTACATCGCTTAGTGCCTGGGCGACTTGTGTCAGTTGCTGTAGGGTTTGGGTCAGAGGGTCGTGGATGTTGGGTTCCGGTGTCCTTGATTGTCTTCTGTTTGGTGCCATGTCGTCGTCTTTCTGGGTCAATGTTTATAGGGACGTTAGGTGAGAGTTTTGTATCATTACTTTGGCGTGATAAGCGGAGGGAAAGTTCCCCTTAGATAAGTGAAGGGTAAAGTGAGGGAGAGTTATGTGTAGGTTTCACAGTCTTACCGCGCGTCCTAAAGTTCCTGAGTCCTATGTTCCTAAATACCTAAAGTTCAAGTCTATTGTCTTAAAGTCTAGTCTTAAGAGTTTTATCCTAGGGTCAAACAAAGGCTATGATACAACCTGTAACACCCTGAAATTTTTCAACTTTTAAGACTTATATAATAAAGGTAAATTAAATCCCGAAACATAATATAAAGAGTACGGGGTGCTATGCCACACATGAGCTAGAGAACTCAGGTGCACAGGCTAACTAACTAATATCCTCAATAATGTAAATGCATAAGCGTGGCACGCAGGCCGAAAGGGAAACTATCTACTTCTACGTTCCAAGACTCTAGCGCGCTCCAGTGTCTACACCTCTGTGCCTGAAAGCCAAATATATCCGTTCAGCGAGAGATGCTGGTAACCCACTCCAACGCGTTGAAATACAATACATATAGGCATATATATAGATATAAGAAAAATCATTTCGAAGCATGACGATATATCCTAAGAGACTCTAGCTTTTAAAATAGGGAATAGACTCGACAGATAGGGATAAGCACAGTCAACAGTCATATAATTCACAAGCATAGGGAACAGACTCGACAGATAGAGATAAGCACAGTCAACAGTCATACAATTCACAAGCATAGGGAATAGACTTGACAGATAGAGATAAACACAGCCAATAGTCATAACCAAGCATATACGGTTTACTAGCATGTATCCTATGGTCACGCTTTCATAACATTCGTAACATCAAACCATCCACATCTCGTCACATAGCACACTTTGATGGCGCCACAGGACCAATCGCATGCCCATACATGAGGGTCAGCGCATATAGCTCTGACACGGCCCCGCAGCACCCTGCCTAGTATCGCAACACGGAGGGGTCGATCGCAACCGACCGATGAACCGCAGCTCATCATAATGTTTGATCGCAACCAAACAGGTGACCGCGGCCCAAGAGTAGTCATCTGACCGTAGCCAGGAATATGAACCGTAGCTCATGTAAAACATTTGATCGCAACCAAACGGTGGACCGCAGCCCGAGAGTGTAAATCTGACCGCAGCCAGCTTCTGAACCGCAGCTCAGGAATAATCAATTTGATCACAACCAAATTGGGGTATCATGCATACATAACACATAGCAAACACATGCAACCCATATTGGCACATTGGGAAGGGGGAGAAATCGTATAACGAAACCTATGCGTGATCATCCACATACTAAGAATAGTCCTAAGGGGTTCATACTTCTTACACCTAGGTCAACGGGATACCAATTCAACTAGCATGTAATATATAAGACTCATTCATCCTACGAATGGCACCCGAAACATCAAACTAGACATAGGCACGTTAGACGGAGTCCGTTGGGACATCACGGGGGTCGGGGGAACATCAAATGGGGAAGCCGGGATCTTGAAGTGGGACTATTTCCAGCGGGTAGCCGGTGGGTGAAGGGTCACCCGCCGGCGACAAATTTCCGGGCAGCGGGTGCCCGGCGGGCAGTCGCCTGCCCGCCGGCTGCCCGCTGCCAGCGATGTCCATTCTGGCCGCGGGTAGGTGGCCGGTCCCCTACCCCCACCTACCCCCACTGACTCTTTTTCACAAATAACGCCCCGGGAACCTTTGTGGAACCCAAAACCATGCTTAGACACCTTTAAACACAATTGATGACAACACGTAGACAATTAATAGATCAAAAGCAAGAAACATACGGCACATATCCTATCATGGTTTCTAATCATAATTAGCACCCAAACATGCGAATTCCCACCCAATATATCAAGAATAACACCATACGAGTTTCACGATACATCCTATGGCTCTAATTATATTTAAATCATCAAGAACGTAATTCATCCTTTAACATCGAGAACCAATCCAATTTATCAATAATATCACACAATTGTTAGGAATCTAGGTTTATCAAGAATATCACACAATCATCAAGAATCTCTTTCCATCATCAAGATTATCAAGATTACTCAAGAAATCAGAACATCAATTATCAAGATCACACCATCAATATCATAGACGAATCATCAATACACAAGAATGTAGAGGGATGCCTTAGAGGAGATCATAGCTAAGAAAATAGGTTTTGTTGAGACATGGGTTACCTCTTAGCCTTAGTTGATTTCCTTGGCTATGATGGGTCTTTCTCTAAGTCTTTCTTCTTTCTTGATTTCTCCTAGGGGAATTCTTGGAATTCCTTGTGTGGTGAGAGATTATTGTGGTGGGGGTTCTAGGTTCCTCCTATGTCCCCTATTTATATATCTAAGAGTCCTAATTAGGGCCCAATTACTATAGGCTTTCTAACTCTATTCCTTTCAGGACTAGGGGTTGGGTTTAGAGATGAGGGCCCACGGACTATGGTGGGCCTTTTCCTAATTAATTATTGTAATTTAATTCTTTCTTTGGATAATTGGTTAAGTGATTAATTGGTTTTAGTGGTCGTGACACGGGGTGTTACACTCTCCCCCCCTTACAAGGGGCTTCTTCCCCGAAGCCCGGTGTGTTGATCCATTCTTTCACCCCTGGACATCCTGTATTTTGGCCTCCTGGTTAGGAACGCGGCCCCATGTTTTGTCCTTGCTGGGGTAGACTGGATTTCTGGTGTCGTGGTGATAGGGAAGTTTGGGTCTACCTTGGTTTCCTGCTCCGGAGCTGGATGCCCTGCGAGTGCCCAAGGTGGCCTCGATTGCTGCCATCCTCTGATCTAATGCGCGTGTCGTGTGGATTAAGGATGAGAACCCTTCTTCCATGACTTGGTTTTGCCGGGTGAGTTGTGCTAGGATGCGCTCATTGACCGAGTCTTCGTCTTGTCCTCTTGGGTTTCCTCCCGATCGTGTATGTGTCGGTGGGTTAGGCTCGCTATCCTCTTCCTGATCTTCACTTGCCTCAAGTCCCCCACAATCTTGCATTTCCCGTTTAAGCTTTTTGTTAGAGATGTCCAATCGGTCAACCAACTCTCTACGCTCCTCCTCGGGCTTGAGACAAATTTCCTCGAGGGTGACATACTGTCCTCCCTCGGTGTAGTAGATATCGTTGCGTCGGAGGTTCTGGGCGTTAAAAATCATGCCATTTACAGTCTTGACCTCAGTGTGGCTTAGATCCACCCCCTTTCTCTCCATGATCCAACTTAGGATCATCTCGTAGGGCAGGTTAAGTCGGTTGCTTGTCTTGCAAAATTCCATGTGTTTTAGCATGAGGACCGGTAGGTTGAACTTGATTTTGTGTTTCAAGAGGTAGGTAAAAGTGCACTCTAAGCTCCCCACGTCCTTACTCTTATTATTTGTGGGCAAGAGGCTGTCAGTTACAATCATAACCAATATCTTTTGCTCCGCCGTTAGCTACTTCCAATTTGGTAGCGTGGCCGAGGTGAACCCTTCCTCTTTCCCGAGTAGGTACCCGAGGTAGTCTGTGTACCCCGTATTTTGGGTATCAATCCACCCCTTTCGGTCGCAATTTGACACACCCGTGGTAGTCAATTTCAAGAGCTTGGCCAAGCGGCCTTCGGAGAGTATGATTTCCTTGCCGCAGACCTTGGTGGTGATTTCTAGTTTATCACCCCGTTTGGTGGCTACTAGATGTTGATAGAATTCTTTCACCAATTCGGGGTACGTATCCCCCTTGATGGTGAGGTACGTATCCAAAAGTCCTTGGTGATTAAGCATATCGACCAATTCCGAAGAAAATTGGTCGGGTTCGAGGGCTTTACCTCCGATTACGGTATAGCCGGCGTTGCCCCATTCCGGGGTACGGGTTCCGAGGGGCTTTTTCGGCATTTTTGGGTAGACGGTGCTTTTTCCGATGAACTTCCGGCGAAGCTCCGACGTGACTCTGGCGAGATTCCGGCGGTGCGGTTCTCTTGACTGCAGAAAGGCGGCGGCGTGGTTAGGCCCTGGCGACGGCTCGGCGAGGGGGCGGCGGCCTTTGGACGGAGCTGGGCAGTGGTGGTGGGTGTGGCA